CCATTTTTAATGTCTCTTAAATAAGCTTTTCAAAAGTTGACCTTAAAGTGTAAAGTGCAAATAAATTATTAACTTTATGCAATTGCATGTAAATAGCATTTACAATAGCAGTAGCAAATATAAGAACAACTCTATCTTATGGTATCGTTTTTAAACGCTTTATGCAAATAACACCCAATATATCGTGTATGTAAATAAATTTAAATTCAATAAAGCAGTAATTTCAATTATTTAAACTTGCATAGAACTTGTATGTTAACGTTTTACTCCGAGGATCTTCCTTTACGGTTTGCAATTCTCCAACGCGCCTTCGAATCTGCGAACGTTGCGGAAACTCTAAAGTTTGTATCTAAGAGTCTGATATCCTTGATTAAAACAGTCTCTTATTATTTAGGGTGAGCTTATATAGTAAAGCCGATGGATATTAAGTTAGATTCTTTTTTTTTATATTTTATTAATAAATTGAGTAAATACATTTAAGACTATTCAAACATAATTAACACTAAAATACAATAAACTACCATTTTAGAATTCTAGATGATGGGCGCAAAAACAATTTCAAAACATAAGAATAAAGTTTTTAGAAACAATTTAAAAAAATAGTTCGACCATTTGAAATTCTACATAAACTCCGATGATGGTCTTAATCTAATAATACGATTGCGAAGTGAATATGCCCTTGACGCATTCCCATCTCCTTCCTCAGTTGCTGCATTTACGGAATTCTCTAGCTGACCGTTTTGAAGCGAGGGTCTTTCTGGGGTCATGTCCTCTTCACAGTCTTCCGTCTTGTTGCCAATGACAACCTCTTCTCCACTTATATTGCCTTCGTCGAAGGTGAACTGAAAACGACGCACTTTTTTCTTGGCGCTAAATATAACACCGTGGGCACCAGGCTCACGTTTTTTGGTTCCAGGCGTTTTTAAAATGGACATGGGCTGCTCAGAACGTGGCGTCAACTGCTGACGAGATACTTGCTCCGCTGCGCCCATAATCGCAGATTTCAATAAACTATTACCACCAATAGATGGACGATTATCGGTGTCACGTGATACACGAAGCACGGTTCGTGCCGGCGAGAAGGATTTGCGGTCGCGAACCACAATAAAACGATGCTGAGACTGACGCTTCGGAGTAACGTTTGGCTGGCTGCTTTTCTCGCTGATTTCGCCAGATACCTGATTTATTCGCTTGGCTGCATAAGCCTTTCGCAAAAAGCTTTTTAATTCGCTGCTTGGTTTAGCGGTTTGTTTCCGTTTTGTTTTAAGACCCACTTTTGACTTGGTTTTGGGCACTGCCTCCGCATCTGGATCCTGCCAATCGTTGGCTTTCAGGTGCAGCAAACGATCAAACCGTTTGTCTACATTTTCGCTCTGTAAACGCAACATATCCCACCAACCCTCTAAATCTTCGACGAACACAGGTTTAGAAGCCTCACTGCCATCATTGGGAGGCAAACCAATGCCGGTAGCACCTGCTTCACAGCGATCAATTAGACTCTTAAACTGCATTAGTTTCTTGCTGGTAAGCAGCTTTGTTTGTCCAATAGCCGCATCTATCATGTCCTTTGCCCCATTCTCCAAAAGTCGCGCTTCATTTTGGTTGTTATATAAGTGCCATTCAGCACAAAGCGAATGGAGGCGCCTAATTTCATTATCCAGTTGCATTCGGAAGTATTGTACAGAGCTTAGTGTGCTACGCAAAGCAACGGGCGTTTCTGGTTTTTTCTCACTTGGACTCTGTATGAGAGTATTGTTGGAATTGTCACGCTGCATTCGAGTGCTCTCTTTTCCACGTGACACGGTCACAAAAGGACTTAGGTAAATTGATTGTCTTGGTTGTGTACGTATCGGGGACTTCGCCAACATCGTCACGTCAGCTAAAATTATATAAGTACGATAATTGCCATTATTAAAATGTATGAAATCGAAAAAAGCCCACTTACCCTCTACTGCCGGCAACGTCTGTTGCGAATCCTTTAGTGTCGGTGACCCTGTCAACAGTCTTTCAGCAACAGACACTGTTTCTTTGGACTCATTGCTTACTGCCACAGGACTTATGTTGGTCGTCTTTCCGTGGGTCTTCAACAAATTGTCGCTATTTTTATTGGAATTGCATTCAGTAGATGTCGCCGCTGCCTTTAATAAATGTTTATTGCTGACAATATAAAGTGACGTATCGGGGCTCTGCAAATCGCAATTTGCTTGCAGCAGGTTCAGCTTGGTAAATATTGCTTGTCTTTGCTTGCAGTTCAGGAGCGCCGGCTTTTTGGACTTCATGCGTGTCGAAAGCTGTGAAGAAATACTGTTTTTGGATTTGGTTTTGCATTGGGCTGCACCACCTCCTCCTCTGTTTCTGCTTGTTGCAGGTAATTCGAATGGCTGTGTCATCAAATTTTGCGGCCTTGGTGCGTTTTTAGCAGACCCCACCATATTTTGTTTAGCTGCTAGGGTTGTTGGTGGCTGTCGTTTAGGTTCGGCCTCTATTTGTGTCTTTTTTATCATAGGCTCAGTAGATGCTTGCTGTGACCTCGATTGTTGCTTCATTTCAACATTTTGAAGATTTCGGCCAATAGTGAAAGGCTTAACTGACTTTGCCGCAGGCTTTGATTTAACTCCAGCAGTGGACGCAACAAAAGACGAAGGTTTTTTCGTTGTGGCCACTTGAAAAGGTATGTGCTTAGCTTTGGACTTAACTGCACTAGTAGCAGCATTATCCAAAGTTTTTTTTGCAGCCGGCATTTGCATAGATATTGGACCCGTTGTTACCTTGGGAATATCTGGAAGTTTTTTGTTTTTCGTTGAATTACAAACCGGCATCTCTGCTTTAGATTCAACATCATTCATTGAGCGACGTTTTTGATGCTTATCAGTGCGTGTCGGAGTCTTCGTCAACTTTCTCATGTCTTCTTTAATTAAATAAGTAAGTGATGATTACCAATTATTAATATTTTTGAAATCGACATAAAGCCCACTTACCCTCTACTGCCGACTCCTTCAGTGTCGGCGACGACGCCAACAATTGTCGTTTAGCAACAGACACTATCCCATTGGACCTATCGCCAACTGCCACAGGACTTATATTGGTTATGTCTCCGTAGGTCTCCAATAAATTATCGCTATTTTTATTGGACTTGCGCTCAGTAGATGTCGCCATTGCCTTGAATAAATGCTTATTGCTGACAACATGAAGTGACGTATTGGGGGTCTGCAAATCGCACGTTTCTTGTAGCAAGTTTGGTTTGGTAAGTATTGCTTGTTTTTGCTTGCAGTTTAGGAACGCGGGCTTTTTGGACTTCATGCGTTGCGAGAGCTGCGAGGAAAGACTATTTTTATCTGTGGCTTTGCATTGGGCTGCACCACCTCTTGCCCTGTTTCTGATTGTTGTCAATTTCGGCGACCTTGATGCGTTTTTAACGGACCCTACCATCATTTTTTTAACTCCAAGGGTCGTCGGTGGCTTTTGTTTTGGGTCAACCCCTTTTTGTGCCTTTTTTATTATGGGTTCAGTGGCTGCTTGCAGAGACTTCGCCGTCTGCTTCAGATTCCCTGCTTGATTATCAGATGCAGTTAATGGCGGCTTCGCCGAACCATTCGGTACAGCTGTTTGTGGCTTTATTCTAGCATTTCTGTCAGTAGCTAGAAGCTTAACAGCACTTGCCACAGTCTTCGAAGTACCCGCAGATGTAGACGTAATAGGAGGTTTTGTCGCTGTGGGCATAGGTGCAAAATCCAAGGGTTTCTTAGCGGCCGGCAATTGCAAAGATATTGGAGCCGTCATCTCTGGTTTGGAATCCAAAACATATAGTGAGCGTCTTTTTTCTGCGCATCTACTTCAGCATTTAAATCTGTTTGCGCTTCCTTTTCTTCCTTTTTTTTCTTCTGCCTTTCAGCTTCCTTCCATTCCTTCCACCCGAGAAAGCGTTGCAAGTAATGCCCCTGGCGCTTTGTTATCTTATTGACAGAAGTTCTATTCGCCGGGAGTACATTTTCTTGCTCGTTTTGTGCTGCAGTCGTCGGTAGGCTGTTCAGTTGCAGCTCATTTTCTTTTAATGTTTTTGACGAAGTAGGACTGATATCTTTTATGCGATTGGTTTGATAAAGTCCGCCGCTTAAATTGGTTTGCACGACGCTTTGACGTTCCCGGTTAATTTCAATATGGTTGTGCGGACTTAGTACTCTCGATTGCATCTTGAATATGCTTTTGCGACTTTCAATTTATTGTAGACAATATCACTGCAATTTTATTTTCGTATAAATTTTTACAGTTACGTTTTAAAAATCAAGTGTATCAAAATTAAAAAACTACAGTTTCTAATGTCAATTACAGTTCTATTAGAGCGGTCGCTTGGGGTAACGATATTGCCACATTGCGCGATTCGGTGTGACCACTCTAATGAAAAACAAAAATACATTCTTAAATACTAAATGTTTAAAAAGGTGTGCATTTACAATTTTTCCAGTAATACTTTTTTTATCATAAAAAAATATGTTTAAATTACAGCGGTTCTGTATCAGCAATAATAAAATTAATGAGTTACTTTAATAATTTACAACGAGAAAATAGCAACAAAAATTCGCAATATTTCATGAGTGTGTGGCTTCAATTGAGTGCAAGTGTGTGTGTCTAGAGGGGTTAAAAAAAATAAACAACAACAACTTAAGCGATGAGCACAGCGGCATTGCCAGCAGAAACTACACGCCCTGCTTTTCAACAAAATTACTTTTATTTTTATACAATGCCACTGACGACTGATGATCACAAGATTATTTATAAATTGTGCGATATATATGTAGATCATTAGCTTATCATTTATATTTAACAAGGCGGTGTTATTGGTATTCCGTAAAGTACACGCTGCTGGCAACGCTATGCAAGCTCAATTCCTCTCGTTTTCTTTCTATCTTTCTCACACACGAATACATATGTATATGCCCGTCATTCTCAGTTGTTTCGTCGCGAGTGCCGCTATCACTTCGTGTTTGTTTCTCTGTTGCTGGCCTGGCTGCGGCTCCGTCATCGTCGTCGGTGTATTTTTAATCACTTTTCTCGCTGTCTATGGCTTTGAAAATATTGTACTAATTTGGAGACGTGCAATCGAATATATGAGTTATTGTTTATATAATAAGTTTCGTTGTGTTGATTTTAAATGCAGATGTGAATATAAACGAGTAAATCATAGCATTTTTCATAAAAATAGCTAAGAGAGTAAGCACCCAACAACAATTGCATATATGCATGGGAGTATATATATATATGTATGTATGTGTAAGCAACAAGGCTGATTAAGAAAAGTAAATCAACTAAAAGTTCAAGTTAAAAGTTAAACAAATTGTACTTAGAAGCGCAACAATTTAAAAACAAACCACCCTCTACAAAATGGAAGCAATTGCCAAACATGATTTCTCTGCTACTGCCGATGATGAACTTAGTTTCCGTAAAACTCAAATTCTAAAGGTAAGAAAAAGTACAACAAATTCACTATGATTTACATTTTGTACATCTCTGTAACAGCTTACAGGTCTACAGTCTAATAGATGACTGTCAGCATATACTGCAATTATTGCCGTCGAGTTCATTTTATACTTTTTTCATACAACTTGATTCATATGTGCTTGCATTATTTGTTGCCTGAGTTGCGGTCGGTTCCCATGTTAACCCAAATTCCTTTCCAGAGTCTGATGTATAAGTTGCAAAGGACTCCAGAGTGTTTGCAAGTGGATCAAAAGCGCATCTCGCAAGAGCAAATGCATATGTATGTGTAACAGCAGAGAATACTTGCAACAATATGTGTTAACTTAGCTATATTTCGGATCGGCCGCGCTCCTTATACAAACTTTGTTGTTAGTCAGCTATTGAATCCGTGCGAAACCCTATGGGAACAATAAACATACATTGAATGTAAATTAGAATAAATAATACATATTTGATTATCCACATTTGTAAAGTAGAATTGTTAGATCCGGTCGGTTTGTGATGTTAAGCTTTGAAGAGCAAAAGGAGCACAGAACAATTGGCGATTATCTGCAAAAACGCTTTTCTTTTTTTTTTGTGTATATACTCTTATATTCGTCTCAGCTGGAGACAGAGCCCCAGACCCCAAATTATGATGAAGAATCTGGTTTTCTTCCCATTGCACTATTGTCTTGGTGTGCGCTTGGCATGCCTGGGGCCCCTTTAAGCAATTGGTTCTCTTTGTTTTGGCAGGCGAAATTTCAGGTTTTTAGTTAGTTTTCAGGCGGTGTAAGCTGCTGCTGCGGGACTGCTGCGTTCATGTTGTTATTGTTTACTGTCTATCCGCTCTTGTCGTAGGTTAGTCACCAAGCGTGCCAGTGTTTTATTTTAGTCTTGTAGGGTCGCTTTTGGGTTGTTCATGTTGATTGATGATGTCAATGACTTGGACTACGCTTTATCAAACAGCTGCCGTTTCTGGTTATCAAAGGCTTATCAGTTTCACTCAATCCAGATTAAACAACTAAGCGAGCACCTTATCAGTAATTTCAATATGCTGGCAACTCGATTGAAGCTTCAATGATACCAAGATCACTTCTCCACGTTTTAATAAGCTAGTAAAATGATGCGTGGAAACGTAAATAACACAAAATGATCAAATATGGTTTATACATAAACCATCGATCTGGCATCAATTATTATGTATTTTCTTTGAAAGAGACAAATATTTGGAAAATTAAACATTGTCCAAAACTATCTTTTCCAAGGAACATGACGTATAATGCTGCAGTCATGAAGCAAGTTTATACTCTGAAACAAATTTGGGTGATGTTTTAATAAATAAAACAAATACCTAAAAATAAACCAAACTATACTTCGCTTGTTTGAGAAAAAGCGAATTCGCCAATGATTGAGCATATGAAAATATTGCTGCTGCCAACTAGCTAACTGAACATATTTAATCAAAACAACACCATTGACCGCAGAACGCATACGTATTTAGTTTTTATAATCTCAAAAAAGTGACAATACGAAACACAAATTTTATATACTCAAAATAAACGGAAAACTTAGAATCCTATTTGAGTTTATATCTTTTTAGCATTTTACCATAAAGAATCCGGCGTATCTGTAAATTACACACATAACAAAAATTAAAGCCATTTTATATTTAGCCAGTTTTCCGTCTCTAGATGTGCTTTTTATGCTAAAGATTAGGTTGTATTTTTGACATGGCTTAGATATTTGCATGAACTACCTAAGCTAGAAAAGTTCGAAGAAGGTAAACAGATGAAACACGACGGAGTCTACATGCATTAGTAAACGAATACTATTACTCATTTATTAGCATTGCCTCCGGAATATGACTCACAGTTCGCTGTTGAGACGGTAATCATCCCATTTTTAAAAAGCTTTACGCCCTTTAATTCAACACTTTTCCCAATGTTTTTATATTGCAAACCATAATTAAGCATGTTTTATTTGCAGATATTAAATATGGAGGACGACTCAAATTGGTACCGCGCCGAGTTGGATGGGAAAGAAGGGCTTATACCCAGTAATTATATAGAAATGAAAAATCACGAGTGAGTAACAATGAAAATTAATCTGCACATTTTAAAGTATCGTTGTAATAATCTAATAATATATTCAAGCTGGTACTATGGACGCATAACACGTGCCGATGCGGAGAAGCTGCTGTCAAATAAACATGAAGGCGCCTTTTTGATACGCATCAGCGAATCTAGTCCCGGCGATTTCTCCTTATCCGTCAAGTATGTAACGTTAATTGATCACTCAATGATTACTATAATATTCTTGTATGGTTTTTCAGATGTCCTGATGGGGTCCAGCATTTTAAAGTACTACGGGACGCACAGAGCAAATTTTTTCTCTGGGTTGTCAAGTTCAATTCCCTCAACGAATTGGTCGAATATCATCGAACGGCGAGCGTATCGCGATCACAGGACGTAAAATTACGTGATATGATACCTGAAGAGGTATATTATATTGAACGAAGGCCATGCAACAGATGTTTTTATACAAATACAAATCTCGAAATATGCTGTTCCTTTGCAGATGCTCGTTCAGGCGCTATACGATTTTGTGCCACAGGAATCTGGTGAATTGGACTTTAGACGCGGAGATGTCATCACCGTTACAGATCGTTCTGATGAGAATTGGTGGAACGGCGAGATCGGCAATAGGAAAGGCATTTTTCCAGCAACCTATGTGACGCCATATCATTCATAATATTGTTCACCCCAACACACACATACATAAGCATAAAACATAATTCACACCCTATACTATGAAATACCAATTTTAAATACATATTATTATATGTACTGTTCAATAATACGACATGAGCATTGCATATAGAAACATATTGTATAAACTGTAAGCATAACAGCCGAATGCATTTTTTACGTCATTGACAAGCAGTTGCAGCCATATTCTAAATTAATGCAATATTACAAGAAAAGAAAAATTCAACTGACAACTAAATCCTCTTGTATGGTGAATATATTATACATCGCACTATATTATTAATGTAACAATTTTTGATATATATACAAATATATATATATAATATATATTTTTATTTAAGTCCAATCACATGTAGCTTTCCACGTACACCACTCTAAATGTGCTATTTATTTTGTGTGCGTGTATGTGTGTGAGAAGAGAAAATTTTATGATAATTAACTATATTATAAAAAAAATTACCAATAACACTCTACACAAACTACCGCTTATTCGACAAAAATATTTAATAATAAAACTATGACAACAACTTTTGCCTAAATGTCTCAAAGCGAAGACAAATAAAATTATTATCCTAATTAACAGTCAAGTATAATATATTTACATATATGTAATATAAAATATATATATTTAACAGTCGATGCGATGTTAAGCATACATTTATACTGAGTTTCAATTGTACGATGCGCCTATAATCAAATTATGTAAAATTTGTTTTCTCATATAAGATTTTTGTGTGATTGACATTCAGTTGCTGGCATTTTATAAACTTTTGCAACCTTTCGAAAAAATATTACTTATTTGCTATTGATATACATTGCGTTTAAATGAAAACATACTATTATATATTAATTTTTGTTTTGCATAAGCGCCTTTTGTTGTCATAATAATTCACCGACAAGTAGTTGCACACTTCTAAATTACGTACATTATGCATTACAATAAATACGAAGTTGCCAATATCAGTAATTACACCGAAAAACAATATTTTTATATGTATTTCCTAACATACACGAAAATTAAACGAAAAACGAAGATGCCTCATAAAAATTGTCAAAATTTATTTAATAGCTATAATTATGCATGCACAGTTCCATCGGCCGCTGGCTTATATGATAAATATTTTGCCTAGTGTAAACATAACTAAGCGTGGCAAATGTGAAATGGTTAGAATCGGATTATTCAATTAGTTAGATTTAAAAATCTATTACAAATCATAAGTATACATATATATATTTGTGGAAATAATTAGTGTGCGCACTGATCTATTTAATTAAAAGCTGATTGCGTTTTCATTTGTTTGAATTTAAATTTGATCGAAATATCTTTTGAAAAAAAAGTTTATACTTGAACCTAGTACTTTGCGACCGATGATAGCTTTAAAGCAGAGACTTGTTGACGTGCAAACAGGCGGACATGGGTAGATCGACTCGGCAGTTGATGCTGGTCAGGAATATAAATACCTATTGGTTCGGAGACGTCTTCTTTTATGCGTTGCACATTCCATCTACAAGGGTATAAAGAGCAGACCTAGTTGAGAATTTATTTTTTGTGATTAGAAATTAAAAGATTACGAAAGAAAACTGTATGAAAAAACCTCTTAACCTAATATTTATTTTTGTATCCGAAATAACCGGAGATTTAGTATTGCCAACTAAAATGTAATGTATAGAAAGTTACTGAGAATATCATGGAAAGATAAAAGATGGAAGCATAGCAAAAACAATAAATTCGGAAAACGATATTTTGCATTTTTAACACAAAACCACTTTTCTTAAGTAATCAAATTTTTTTAGTTTGTGTCATAAAATTCATAATAATCAAATAAATTTTACTTGGTATTTTTTTGGAAAATATAGTATATTTTCTGTATAGATGTACGGTCACATTGCACTCGTAGCGACGACGGAAAGCATGTCAGGCGAGTTCTTACGCGGACGACAGTTAAATAATTTACTATATATATATATATAGAGAGAGAGAGAGAACAAAAGAACACGTACGAAAATACAAAAATCTTTGAAATTAAAAAGCTGAGTTATTCCGGTGTATTGTGTAAAAGAAGACCATTGTCAAGCCTTTGAGATTGAGTGTTATATGTGACTTATCAAGAAAAATTTTGACACACGGCACACACACACACAATCGCTTCATAGACAGACGTAGTACATATATGCAAGCGAGTGAAAATTGCAAGTAACAAGCAGGTGTGTGTGTGAGTGTGTGTGTGTGTGCAAATGCTCTTTCGATAATTTACGCGCCTTGTCACACAGTCAAACAAAATTGTTGGTTTCACCTTTGCCACCTGCTTAACAAAATGCCGATACTTGCCTATAAGGAACAGCGCATTCTCAGCCCCAGCAACTGCGCAAGCTAAGCGAACACAAATACTCGTGCTTCAGCGCAAGCCTGCTGGATCCTTTGCTACAGCCCTGGTGGAATTGGTTGGTCTCCCAAACGCCACTTTGGCTGGCACCTAATCTGATAACAATTGTCGGTCTAATACTCAACATTGTGACAACGCTGATATTAATTGGTAAGTGCTTATTATTTTTATTAAGCTTTCTATCAATTATGTACAAGTGCATAAGTGTGTATGTAAGTATGTTTGTTCGTACGAATCTTACAATCAACTGAGTAAAATAACCTTTTCTTTCTTTTCTATCATATTTTCACATATGTTTCGTTGCGTTCGTTATCGTAAATATTTCTACAAACATGTTTATAGACGGAATTTCATACATTCAATAGTTTTAAAGATGTATTATACAGTGTGCCTTAATGATCCCCCTTAGTCTGATTATTATAATCAATTTTTTTGTCGTCCATGAGATGGCTGTGGATACACTCAAAGGACAAATTTTCTTGTTATGCATGCATATAATCAATCGATTACTAAGCATTGAACATGTAATCATGTTATATGGTTAGTGGTATAATATATGTAGTATGTATGCAATTCTACATTCAATTTGGAAGTTTAGCATTAAGTACAATCATCTGAAATACAGATGACTCGTTTCCCCTAATGCGTGGCTTTACCTTATTATGCCGTAACTTGCATGGTTAGTTCCATTCGAAATTTCGACTCTGATAAGATATCAACGGATCGTCGAGGTCGCCGCTCATTTACTTTTAATATATCTTGTTTTTACTGCGTGAATTCAATAAATCAGGTGGTTCATTACAAATTAAATAAGTATGGAGTACTTATCATTGACTAGTTGTTGTTGAATACTATCCGTCTGCTTGCTTTAGATATTGCCTGACTTTTTGGCTTCGCATGTGCACAAAGTTCAATTGAATTAACCCCGAGTAAATTAATTTTCAAGTACATATTTTCATTATTCTTGCTTATGCAATTGATGAGTGCTTTGGATTGAATTAAATAAAAATTTGCATTTTAATTGATTCCCATTTTGCAAATAAACTACCCAGCCCTATTTTTGTCAATCTTATATTTTTATAAAGTATATTCCCAAATTAAATTTTTAACTTTATTTCTTTTTAAAGAGAATCTATAAAATTGGTTTGTGACTAAGAATTTCAGTCTTATTATTTTTTAACTATCCCATTCCAACCAACATTGGACATTCAAAATTCATTATAATGTTATTATTCACAATCAAACAAGTCTTAATAAAAACCAACTCTCTCTATAGTTGTCTTTATCTATACATTCACAATGACAATCTACAGTATTAGTCGTTGCTAATGTTTTAGTATGTGTAGTAAATGCGACTTATAAAGTGTATACATTAAAAGTTGCATTGAAAAATCGCAAGGCAGCTGTAAAATGTCAATTAAAATATAACTTACAATTTTTGAGAATTCAGCAATGTTGACATACCATTTGACCATTCAAAAAACTTAAAGTTTTGCTTTGGCTATCAGCTTTTTTTGTTTTTGCCGCCTAAAATAACACATTTCCAAGAGGCGGTGCCTTAGTTGATCTGTCGATCAGCCCTCGTATTATTTGGTTAGCAACACCTTCGACCCTATTTCAGACTCAAACTGCTTTTGAATGATCTGCGACCAATTGCATTTGACTTGTAATAGCCTATAAAAGTTTCTGATTGCTTCAGAGCTTCTCTTAATATTAGCTGTCTATGTCAAACCCGCTATTCTTTTCTTGTTAGAAGTTAAAAATTAAGCGTCTTTTAAAATAGACAGTGCACTTTAGATTTTCTAGGAATCGCGCTTAATGTGCCCTTCAAAAATAGCTAGAAAAAAAAAGTTATGCTTACTTCAATAAACCGTATTGAAATCATTTTTTTGAGCGTTATACTATGTGCATATGACCTACAAATATATTTTTTCTTACAGCTATAGTCCAATGGGTCGAGCCACCGCCACGTTGGACCTGCTTCCTCTGTGCTCTGGGTCTGTTCGTCTATCAAAGTCTAGACTCGATTGATGGCAAGCAGGCGCGACGTACCAACACGTCATCGCCGCTTGGCGAACTGTTTGATCATGGCTGTGATTCCATATCAACTATATTTGTGGCGCTTTCGGCGTGCATATCCTGTCAACTGGGTCACTATCCAAACTGGCTATTCTTTCAGGTAAGTCGCTTAACTTGAATTACTTAATGGATTTTTTAATTCGATATGTGTTATTTTCAGTGCTTTTGTGCCATTGCGTTGTTTTATTGCGCACACTGGCAGACGTATGTGTCTGGAACGATGCGCTTCGGCCGCATCGATGTAACTGAGGCTCAATTCTCCATCATGCTATACATTTGGTTTCGGCCGTGCTGGGGCCCGAGATTTGGCTGACGAAGGTAAGCCATCTGGGTGGATTGCCATGTTGCTCATATTTCCATCTTTATATAAATAATCCCCTTATAATATTGATTTCGTTTTAAATTGAGATTTTCAGAAGTTATATTTTAAATTTTAATTGCCTATTTTAGACTATAGAAACGCCTTTTATATTATTGCAAGTGTAATTTTTCAATTATTATAATTATTTCGTCATTTACTTATGTTCTAATAAGATAAATGCAAATAGCATCAATAGCTTGGCTTAAGTTCACAATGCATTAAGTTTACTAAATGCTTATTATATAAGTACCTAATATGTTTGAGACGTTAAGATAGAATGTTTATTTGTTTTTTGCGTTGTAAGCTCTTTGGTTCGATTTATTAAGTTTAGTATCATTGGGTTGCAAACAAAAAAAAGACAAATTCATTTCACAAACTTTAACGAAATTAAATGAGACTGCAATACATACATTAATATTAACTTTGTATTAGCTAGAGTTTAAAGAAAAGCTCTTGTTCCCATAAATAGCTTAAAGGTAATAATTCCAAACCACATTGTAATTGTCTCAACCTTTTACTTTATGTTGCATTCAAATGTGTGCCACTGCGCCACAAAACAAAACAATACAAAATGCCTAATCTACTAAAAACCAACAAATATTTAACACATACACACAATCGTATCCAATATACAAACACAGATTGGCATTGGCAATATTGAGCTTTGGTATGGTCCTGCTATAACGACCATTGTGTGTGGTGTAATCTCCTTAACCTATGTATTTTCCGTCGTTGTGGCCGGTGGTGTTGGAAAAAATGGCTCCACAGTTGCTGTAAGTCTGAAAAATACACACAAATATGTACAAAAATGTGCATAAAAACCAAATCAGATAAATGACTGCAACAAATTTTGGGGTTTTCTTTTACTATACGTACAAATATTATGAGCTACTGATTTTGACCATTTTATAATTTGTTTGTTTTGTACTAAAAGTGAAAGAGAGCCGTTTGACTTGACAAGTCTTCGAGTTCTGAAGATAGGCAGATGATTCAATTAAATTGTTTTTCCTAAGCTAAATTTTATAAAATAAATCGGTGATTTTGCTTACATATGTATGTATATAGTAATGCTATAAAATTTGTATGCCACTTATTTGGCAAACGATATCAGGAAGCTCCAATTATTTTGAAATAATTCACGTGTAAAACCCTAAAATATTGTATGCTGTCTGATGTTTATTTCAACCACAAACAGAAACAGGAAGACACATACAACAAAAATTATTTTGGCTCTCAATTCGAAAAATCTAAATTGAACATTAATTGCAATGCGGCTATTTCGTGGGAACGTGGTGTGGGTCCTTGTTTTCCTTTTTACCCCAATTGCTTGCCTTAACTTTCTACATTTATACTTATTATACACATATACATATTATAATTGTACCTTTGTTAATGTTTCCTAGTTTTAAAGCCGCTGTCTTGCTTCTTTGCCTCGTGCTTTAACTCATAACAAAACTTTAATATTGCTGACTCCTACTTGGCATGCTCTAATAATACTGTTGAATGCCTAAATTCAACAGAATGCGATATGCATAATTGATCTTTCTTTGTCACTTGTATGACCACAATTGTATTGTATATTTGTAGAAGTCCTGAATCATAAGTTTAAAACTATATGTATGTATCTATATACTGTTGGCTAAGGGATTTAGCTTTAATTAATTTAATGTATCTCAAAGAGTACGTAGCATTAAGTTAGATTGGCACTTTATATTGTGATGCTTGCGGTATCATTTTTTTGAAAACTATAGCTGAAAACTATCGGGGTTCGAATATAATTTTAATAATTGTGTTTTTTACTGAATTAAGCCTCGAGTTATGAACTCGGCAATCAAGCCTCCATTGTTTTAAGCTTACACTAATACTTCTTATGCCGCAAAAGTTCTAAGATTTAGGTTAACGATTTTTTAAATTTTCATGCAAATTGTTTGTTTTGTTTACTGTTATTGTTTTTGTTTTGTTCTGTGATCTCTTCTCATATACAATAGATGCCAATCGTGGGTTTCATGGAATTATACAATATTAGTATTTATCACTTTCGGTTATACGTTGAATATAATCAATTTTCTAAAAATGTTTATTGAAGGCGGCAGTGGCAAAAACGGCTCATCAGTTGCTGTAAGCATTGCTATCCATATACGAAACGCGACAAACGTTTTAAATCAAAATTGAATTTTCTAATCGTACTAAAGCATCTGTTGGATTAACCCATTAGTTTATTCCCACACATTGACATATACGGACACGGCTCTAACATTTAATCCATTTGC